GCCGTTTAGTCATAGGAATCGAATGTTCGAGACGACCGTCGAGAGCCCCTAGCATTTTCCAGTAGCAGAGTTGGACTAATATAAACAGCCGACGTATCAGCGCCCAGTTTAGTTTTATATAGAACATTGTATTGGACAGTTAAAGTGTAATAAATAAATTAGAATTGTTAGTTAGTATTATATAAATTAAATAGTACGTCTGAAACAAATTGTAAATACTGTTTTTAAATAAATAAACTTGAAATAAATTAGACTTTCGTCCCACTATATATCCAGCCTACCATTCTAATTATTTTCTTGAACTTCGAAAAGTAACAATATGTCCAAGAAATATCAATTTTATTGTGAGACAACAAACCAGCAATACTTGGTACTTTTTCATCGGATATACCTTCATTTACTTGATAAATTTAAGTTGAACTATACTTAAGTGCATCTGTCTAAATAACTGCATATAATGCCATCCAATTTATAATGATTCAATTGTCTTTTAACGAATACTTTCTCGCCTATATTATATTTTCAAAAATATTTATAAAAATAATAAATTTATAAAATAAGGTATCTACGCCTATGGCAGAATGAACAAATTTGTCGGTAAGGGTTCTGAACGAGTTTTTATATTCTGCAATTGATAATGGAAGTAATATACCCAATCAATAATTTAATTTATTTAATTTTAATGATAAAAACCGTACGCCTATGTGCGCGGTGCCTCATGCCGTGTTGGATTGATTCAAGAAAGACTATAAATGGCTAGCAATATGATGACGTGTTTGTCCTTCCAGTGAAAAATTTAATATAATAAAAAGTTTTATGAAAAATATTATATACAAGGTAGATTTAGGGTGAACTTAAAAAACAATATTAACTTATAAATTAATAAATTTCTTTTTACCATTGAATAATTTGGTTTCTAGGATAAGCCACAATCCAAATAATATTTCAGTTATTAACACAAAGCTTAAAATATTTTTACAGAATAGAACTGAAAAATGTAAAAGAGTTGGTGCACTATTCGCTAAGTGGCATATTTGCTGGCAAGCATTATCAAGCCTTTTTGGCAGAGTAAAGCAAAATTCAGGCCACATGCGTCGCATACTTAACGAGTTCCGTATGGTAATAAAACATTTTTATTTGAAAAACCGACCGCCACGTTTATCAGAGCCGAAATAGATAATTCTAAGCGATTTCAAAAGCATCCAGGTTGAAGTTGAAACGAGTCTATTCGATGTAATCAGAAAAGAGAGCATCACTGCTTTTTTAAAGTCAGCGTCCTTCTGATGTAATAGCTTTAAAGTTTAATGATGTGATATTCTTTACGTTTTTGACGTCTGACAACGTGAGGTTTAAAATGAGTGGGATGATTTAATTGCCTTCCACTGCGATACAGATGGATCTATTATGGCGATGACAACGAGAACTAAGAAGTTGAAAACAATTATTTAATCATCGACATCAACAAAATGGGCATGTAAAACGAAACTATAAAAACTAACTTTCATACACCTTCACAACATATTTGTTGGGAATAGGCAGAACTCATCTTGTATTGTATACTTTTTGAATTAGCTTTATATTTATTGAGGATAGATGTGACATTAACGTATAGTAATAAAAAGTAATGGATATTTTGCTTGTTTGAATCTATATCATAACATTAACAGCTTCAGTTAAAATATACATGACAACGTTAAATTATACCTGCAAGTGCATTGAAATTAATCAAAATGCAAATAAAAGTAAGATAAATATTTTATATTAAGAAAGCCAACGAAACAAGACACACTTATTACTTACAAGCCAAACTCCAAAATCTACTCAAGGAGGACCCTTAAACGAAACAAACTTCTTCCTAGATTTGCACCGAAAACGGTCCAAAAGAACAGCTTTGTGACAGTTGAGACACCTACAACTTTAATTCATAAGAAGAGTATCGAATACCAGAAAACTAAAGTAAAATCCACCACAGAAATGATGTCTCTTCAGGGAACATTCCTAATCCAGCTACCAATCCAAGAAATATACAAGAGCCATGAAAAAATTCAATGACCAAACAAGTTCTCGCAGACAACAGACATCAACCGATGATGAAGAAACTGGGAAAATCTTGTTCGTCCTTTACAAGACTCATCTAGGAGATGGAGAAGTTACAAAACATTGACCTGCCAACTCATCACATTCCACATGGTCAAAGGTAAATTTGGTATTCATTCAATAAACCTATATAAAGAAAGAGTTAAAATATTCTTACTTACTACAGACCGAAAGGAAATTAGAAATCTAATAGATTCTCAATAGTAGGACATACAGTTATGTTGTGTCAGACTAAAAATTAATATATAAGTGAAACATTTAAAATGAACCGATTTGGGTGTGTTGTTAGCGAAGAAATAGAGAGTTTTATAGACAATCAAAAGTAAAAATAGTGTGTGGAATCAGTTTATATTGATCCAAGTTAAAGAACTGCTTAAGTAAAAGTGTATAATATACAGGGTATTTCCAAAGTAATACTGTGGGCGACTCATCGTTCAATTTTAAGACGAAAATATTTTATAAACTTGTGTGATATGTTTTGTCGCTCATAAATTACGATGTGTTAACTTTTTTATTATTTTAATAGAAGCAACATCTTGTGATAAACATAAACAAAAGTAGTATTATATTTCTAAGCAGATGTTCAAAATGTGCTCCTGCAGCTAAAATACAAGCATCCGCTCTACGTCTAATGGATTGCGAATAACATTACAGCTTTGTATAATGCGATTTTGAAGATCTAAATTTAAGAACGGGTTTGGTAACTTTATTACAAAAAAGGACCAAACAATGACAGTATAACTCTTAACATTCCTCGTTTTGTAGGAATTCTTTTTCCGTTTCAAATATATTTATCTATTTTAGTAACATCTATAGTAAATGTGAATCAAACTTCTAATGGGATCCATTTCAAACCTAATATTTTTTAAACTCTTTCTTTGACTCCTATGAGGTTATCTGAAATTTTCTCAAATATGTCTTTGGAATTGCAAAACCATCCCCTAAATCCTCCTTCTTTATGAATATGGATGACGTTGTGTATAAGGTATATTGCTTCCTTAGTGCTAGATATACTGTCTAGATAGTCATCCATATAATGTCTATTATGCCTTCCACGGCTCGGGGGGAATTGGTCTTTGAATTCCAAAGCATTGATATTTTTCACGTATTGAAAACAATAGGGACAAGATACTGCACCAAATACGATTACTTGCATCGTGTATGTGCTTGAAGTTTCTTTCATATTGTCTCTCCATAAATATATTTGTCCATTTTTGTCTTTTTTTCTAATCTCTACTTGATAGAACATTTCTTTAATATCTGCATAAAATGCTATTTTCTCTCTCTAAATTTACAAATTATTCCTACTAGATAGTTTAACAAATCCGGTCCTTTTATCTAACTTTTTCCTTCCACTATTGCTTTTGTGTCGAATACAAACCTTAATTTTCCCGGTTTATTTTCGTCACACCAAAGTGAGGTAGTGCTATACTTTTTCTGTTTCTTCTTCCTCTGATTGTTTATCTACTTTTACTGCAAAGCCTTTTTCTACATCTTCATTTTTTTAGCCTTCTCTTCTCTTTGAAAGCCCATTGGTTTGTTAGCAGGGAACTCTACGGTTCATTCTTTCCAAAGTAAACCGGTTTTCCAACGTTTCTTATTTTCTATCCTGCGTGCGACTCGTTTAATCATATCAATTGCTCTTCTTTCTTCAAAGTTAAACATTTCTGCTTTTGTGCAAATTTTAACTCCGAAGCTTCAGTGGTGGAGAAGAAATTTTTAACCTGCTCATGTAAGTCTATTTCTAGGTTATTTTTTTGAGAAATATATAATATTGTATTATCCACTATACCTCTGGTGTGTCTTAAATGTCCATAAACCACCCAATCTAACTTAGTGCTTGACAATGCTCGAGAGTCCTTTGGACATTCTATCAATTCTCTACTTGTAATTAACTCCCAACTATTCAAGCCTGTTAAAAGCTTCAGTTACACATTTTGCATATTGTCAAATTCTACCTTTCCAAGATGTATCCATTTATCTTTCATCCTTTTTGCACTTACTGATTGTATTGGTAAGTCCATATTTTGTCTACTACTTTAAATTTCACCTGTTTTGACTGTATCCTCTTGAATGATTCTTTATTTGTCCATTTATGACCTGATAAACCTAAATGATTTAAAAACTCTTCATCTATAAGTGTGACTGTAGAAGCTTAACCAAATAGAGCATATGTTTTTGTTATTCTCTATTCGGTGTTTCTATAATTACTGGAGTGATAGGTAATTAAATTTCAGAACTGTAAGTTCCTCATGTTAAGGGCAAGGGCAAGGACTTCTTGCAAAGAAGCTTCGCCATTTACATGTTTTATTTGTTTCTACATTATGAAGACATCGGTTGTGTAATTTTTCACAATTTTCAATGCCACATTGTTTATTCGATGATTTGTTTTAAAACAAGAGAAATATGTTTTGATCTTTAATAAATTTCCATCTTTCTTCTATTGTTAAATCTAAAAAATTTTGACAGTTTTCCAAAGAATGCCTTCTTGTGCATTTTAAACATGATAATTAAGTATTATGAGAATTTTGAGCAGTAACTTGTCTTCCCATGATAATTGCCAATTCATTGGTAGTTTCTGTAATAATTTATTCATTATCTGTGGACATCCTCAGTAATCTTTCACTTACATTGTCTCTAGAGTGATATAGAGGTTAATTACTTTTTCTGAAAAATTAGTTAAAGATTTGCAATCGTTGTACTTGATAATGATCAAATTTCGGACTTTATTAACCAAACTTTTTACCAACATTGTTCCTAAAGTGACGCTGAGTAACAGTAACAAAGCCTACACAGAACACGAGGCTAATGACCTTAGCAGTCGATGCCGATGACACCAAATTAAAAAAAAATATATCTGGTCTTCCATATTTTCTTTTTAATATGTGGATAACTTTACTTACCGATGCAGTAAAACATAATAAACCTTTAACTGATCTTCTAGCATCTTCTTTTAAAACCTTACGAAGTCGGTACATACTTTCTTCATCGGACAACTCCAATAATTCTGTTGTTAATAAATATTGTTGATAAAAACCACCAAAAACCTATAAATCATTTTCTATAGTTTGTGGAACCAGAAGTTGTTTGATATAAATGTTTGGAATCAATTCTTACAGTAATTTTTTTATTTTCAAAATATTGACTGTCTGATTTTGACTGATAATTTCGTTCAGAATGACGTGTATGTTGTGGCGAATCGATAGGTCTCTTACCTAAATCTTCTTTATATGCGTCTGGCGTTGATCCAATTTTATTAAGTGAAATTCAAACTTTATTTTGTAGATCCACACTAAATAAACCTTTATTTCTATAATCTTTTTCAATTTTCTTTATATCTTCGCTAAATAAGCTTTTACCCGAGAATAACGATCAAGGAGAAGCGACAGTAGCTGTCGGTGCCTTTGATATCGGATGTACCTTTTTCACAGCATGACTTTGATTGATACACAACTTAGCACGCTGAGAAAACATGCTTATTTTCTACACTGAGCGAAATAGTTTGGCAAATTATCTGAAATCATTGTTATAGTCCATGCGCAAATGTTGTAATCTGATTTAATTACATTGAAGTAGTTAGGGTTAATAGCAATGCTGAAATTTTGGCACCAAAATATAATTTATTATGTAATAATTAATTATTTATTATAAAAGTAAAAGACGTTTATTATTTTATAATTTATCCATAAAATTTGTTCAATATTTGGTTTATTTATTGTTAAAAATGTAATAAAAGCTCCATATTTAAATTAAATTACCTTTTCCTTAAGTAAAAATAGGGTAAATAAAATTAAGGGTGCCAAAACAAATTTAGGTAACCATTAAAAAGACATTAAGTTTGAAATATTTAACTAAATATTTGCAATGTGCTTATATTTTCAAAAACTTTTAGGTTTAAAAAGTACTTACATAATTTTAAAATTTCTAAATTTATATTATATTAAAAGGACTTTCAAGTTTATCACTCATTTCTATATAAATAAGTGTTTTTTCGCCAAGTTAAGCCAGATGTCATTTAAGGTTTATGTATTTAGAGTTAAATACCTGGCCTGGTTATCACCCAGACAATACAAACGTCCATTCCATATACAATTTTGGATGTCTAGACGTCCAAGAATGAGTTTTTTCTGGACTTCCGACATCCAATAGACGTCCAGTGAAGTATACAAATGCCACACTTTTGACCATTCAGAGGACGTTCAATTCTGGAATATATTTGGACGTCGAATACTGAACATTCAAAATACGTCCAGGATTATATTTCCATTGAGACCACATCCCCACTTTTTTTACAGAACCGCAACTTACCACACACTATTTTATATTATTAATAATTTGTTTATTATTTTCGCAAACCGCTATACACCATTTATTTTTTTTTTTTTTTTTATTAAAAATCGCTTGACCTGAGCAGGCATCGAACTCACGACACATCCATTATCGTTTTTCCCTTTCAATCGCTAGACGAGTTCGACCAAGGAACCACTTGAAAACTTTTTACTAGATACAGTTATAATTGAATAAGATTTCAAAATTCGGCTGGGCATAGACGAATTTTTTAAAATAGTACTTATTTAAGTATGCACCAATATTTCTAAAATCAACTTCAGTATGATTTATTCAATAAATGCAAATATGAATGGGCAAAACATCTTTATATTGACATAATTGTACCTTACAATTTAGCCATAATAAAGGGATTTCGCCCATTTTGACCAATCCTAATTGAAACACGCGGATTTATTATATTTTTTTAAATATAATTTCAAAATAAAATAAACAAAATCTCCAGTTCATTGTTTATTAAATTTATTTAAAAGAAGAAAACCTATATTTCACAAAATACAATAACTAAATATGAAAAATAAAATGTCAAAAATGATTAAATCATTATACCTAATATTTATGCATGTGATAAAATTCTTAGTTTCCTAGTAACTTTTTTGGCACATTTTATATCTGCATTAGAATACCTAAGTTTGTAAAAATCTTCATCTTATTACTACACATAACAAACACCAAAAAATATCACTTAACATTGCTCACGTACTAAACACAACTTGGACTGACTTTGACAGATAACATCATTTTGAGTGATACACAACTTATTTTCGCACATGCGCGTTACAAAACGGTACACTAAAAACACCAAGCTGTCGCTTCTCCTTGATCGTTATTCTCGGCTTTTACTTCTACCATCACTTTCTTCGACTTCATCTATCACTACGAAATCGGTGCTTGCCAAAATTTATTCTTCCTTTCTCTAATTTTAATCTATTTTCTACCATTTTTGTAGCAATCTTCTTTTGGAGAAACTAATATGCTTGCTTTAGACAATATTTTTTCTTGTAGTTCTTAGGTTTTAGGTGTTTGTTGAGGAAATGAAACTCGTGTTAAAGTAAAGTAAAGCTTTTGGCCTGCTCAGGGCCTTCTTCAGTAGTTTTTTTAATTTTTTTTTAAAATATTTGTACATTTGACAGTTGTTCTACAAGAAAAGAATTTTTTTTTTTTGGTGTTTTTTTTTATATATATATAGTTTATATTGTTTTTAGTTTGTTTTTTGGCTTACCTTTAGTACATTTTATGGGGTGTGTAATTAATATTTAAATGTTATTAGATCCTTTTTTTATTATTCTGTAATTGAATTTTTGTCATTTTTGTCATTTTCGTGTCCGATATTTGATGCTGTGGTACCCCTTATTAATTTCATCGATAGTCAGGGTGTTGTTACTTCCTTTTTTACGTTTTCGGGCCCTCATAAAGGTCCGGAAATTGAAAAATTTTACTTGGTTTTTTTTTGGGATTTTACTTTGCTATGCAACTACCATGCGGTTCGAGATTTATCAAGTGACAAGGTTGAATATTATTTAATTTGACATATGTCATTTGTCGTTTCTTCTCCTTTTTTTTTGTCTTTTATAGTTTGGTCTATTAGGGTCATGATTGTTACAAGATTTTTATTATGTTTTTTTTTTTTTAATATTCTTATTATATTATTTTCATTATTATTATTATTATTATTAGTTATTATTATTACTATTATTATTATTATTATTTTGTTTATTTTTGTGTTATTAGTTATCTTTCAAGTAGTATAATAGGTTAAAATACATTTGATTTAAGTATTCAATGTCACCGCGATCATTGATGGTATTAGCGTTTTTTTTTTATTATATGTACCATTTCGAGAAATTCGCGTTTTTTCAAATTTTGTTCTCTGTCGAGTACTGTTACATTGTTGTAGTCAAATTCGTGTCCTGTCTCGAGTTTGTGTTTCCCTAGAGCTGTTAATGCGTTTTTTGTGTTTTTGTGAGTTCGTATTCTGTTTTCTAAGTATTGTTTTGATTGATCTATGTATACCTTGTTACAGTTATTTCCCTTGCATGGAATTTGATAGATTGCGTGGGTTTCTTATTATGTAGGGTTTTGTTTTTTAGTTTTGTAAAATTTTGTGATAATGTTGCTATATTTTTATGTCCAATTTCAATATTAAATGGTTTGACTATGTGTTGGAGTTTTTCAGATAAACCACTGACATATGGTATTGAGATATATTTGGCATTTGTTTTGTCTTTATTATATTGTTGGTTGTTATAGTATTTGTGGATACGTTTCTGCATTATTGTGTTGATGACTTTTATAGGATAGTTATTTTGGATTAGTATATCTTTGACTTTTTGAATTGCTATGTTTCTATATTCAGGGTTTGATAATTTGATAGCTCTGTCTGCTAGACCTATAATAACTGATTTTTTTTGGGATATGTGGTGTTTTGATGTAAAGTTTAAGTATCGTCCTGACCAGGTAGCTTTTGTATACCATTCAGTTTTTAATATTTCTTTTGTTGTCTATAGTTTAATCTAGAAAGTTTAGAGAGTTGTTGTTTTCAGTCTCGATAGTAAATTGTAATTTTGGGTGGTAAACATTGAATGTGTCTAGTATATTGTTGGTTTCCGTTTTTTGTATAAGTAAAATACAGTCGTCGACGTATCTAAAATAGAAAATGGGTTTTATATTTAATTTTTGTAATTGTGTTTGTTCTAAGTCTTCCATGACAACTTGGGCAATGATGCTAGATATAGGTGCTCCCATTGCTAAGCCTTCAGTTTGTTTATAATATTGACTATTAAATGTGAAATATGTAGATGTGAGTGTGTCGGTTAATCCTATTAGAAATTCGTTAAGAGGTATGTCTGTAAATTTTTTTATTTCAGGCCATAGTTTTTCGATTATTTTTTTACTACAATCTAGTGGTACGTTTGTGTATAAGGAGGTGACATCCAATGATATAAGAATATGGTTGTCAGGTGCATGTATATTGGAGATTTTTTCTTTGAATTGCCATGAGTCTTTAATGTGGTGTTGGCTTTTACCTACTACGTTTTTTAGTATGTTCGTTAAGAATTTTGAAGTTAGTTGGTATGGGGATTGTATGCATGATACTATTGGCCATAAGGATGTGTTTGTCTTGTGTAACTGTGGTAATCCATAGATAGATGGTGGGTGTGTGTTGTATACTCTAAGAGATTTTGCGATGTTTGTTGGGATGTATTTTTTTTCCCAGTTGGTGATTAGTTTATTGTTTTTACTTTGGTATATATTTGTTGGGTCATTCAGTTATTTTCATATGTGTTTGTGTCGCTTAGTAATGTGTGCATTTTATTTTGGTATTCAATAGTTGGCATAATGACTGTTTTGTTAGTTTTATCTGGACGTAGGATGGTGATTTCTGGGTGTTCTTTTATGAATTTTTTAGTATTATGTATTTTTTTGTTGAGTTTTTTGGGTCTATTTTAGTATTTTTATATTTGTTTTTGAAATTAGTAATTGTATTCACAACTTTTGCTCTGATGTTGTTTTTAGCTTCTGTTGGGATTTGGGCTATTCCTGTTTCTACACTGGCTGATATATTGTGAATAGGTAGATTTTTTGGGGGAGCATTGGTTGCAAAATTTGGTCCTAAAGCCAGTATTTCTTTTATTTCCGTGGGAATTGTTAGGTTTGTTAGATTTTCGATCCATTTGTTTGTGCTATTATTATCAATGATCGTTTGTGGAGTATGCTTAAGTGTGTTGAATTTTTTTATATTTTTATTTTTGCATTTTTTGAATATATTTTTAATTTTTTGGTTTTCGTATGTGTAAAAGTTATGTGTTATGTGGTTTGGTAAGTGATTATTAAGTTGTGTTTTTAATTTGTTTATGTTGTTTTGAGTATGGTTGATGGATTTAATTGTGTCAGTTATTATTAAGTTTAGTAATTTTAGTTTTAAATTTATTAATGACATATCCCATTTGTACTGCTATTTGTACATTTGACAGCTGTTCTACAAGAAAAGAAATTTTTTTTTTGGTGTTTTTATATATATATATATGTATATATAGCTTATATTGTTTTTAGTTTGTTTTTTGGCTTACATTTAGTACATTTTATGGGGTGTGTAATTAATATTTAAATGTTATTAGATCCTTTTTTTATTATTCTGTAATTGAATTTTTGTCATTTTTGTCATTTTCGTGTCCGGTATTTGATGCTGTGGTATCCGTTATTAATTTATTCGAAAGTCAGGGTGTTGTTACC